TTAATAAAATTTTGTTATTTCATTAGCAACTCTACAATTAAATTCAAGTACTTTAGAAGTGGATAAATATAATAATTGTGGGATATCGAATGGATAAAAGGAAAATTATCAAATAATTTTGTATAAGGAATGTACGAAATACAATTTTTTTTTTTTTTTTAATAAACTAATCATTAAAACAAATTTTTATTGCACATAGTTATAGAGTGTAAATTTTCACGGGGGTTTGCTTATAGCGGATAGTGGATGTAGTTGGCCCATCGGCTAGGGGTGAAACTAATGCGGTTTTAAATCGAATCAAATCGCAAATTAAGGTGTGATTTTTTTTTTTCTAATATAGTTCGGTGCGGTTTGAGGAATCCCAAAACCGAATTAATATGTTTTGGTTTCAGTTCTAAGATTTGAAAAACCAAAAATCAAAATCCAAACCGAATTATGGCCCATTCCAAATTATAGACTAGTCCAATACTAATTTCTACCCTACATATATAAAGCCAAAAAATAATAGAACTTGTGTTTTTTTTATGTCCTAAAATGTCAATCAATATGGGCGATGTTGGAGTGAATGACCAATTAGATGGAGCAAAAAGGAAGAGGATGCAAATTTTTGGTGTGGTTCGGCTTTCTTTTGAATAACCGAATTTTAAACGGTGTGGTTTGGTATGGTTTCAATTGTATGGTGCGGTGTGGTTTGAAAAATCCCAAAACCGAATTAATGTGATTTGGTTTCGATTTGGGCTATAAACCACACCGTAAACCGAACTTTCACCCCTACCATCGGTTGTAGTAAGAAATAGATGTGGCACATGATCATTGTTTGGGATTAAAGGACCGTTAGTGTTTAAAATCTACGTAGGCGACAAATAGATAAAATTGTGATATATATGATGCTAAGTAAGTGAATTTTTGATAGGTTTTGTAAGATAAAATTGTTGTATAGAGCTTTATTATTGATGTTCTTCTAATATTTAATGCATACAAAATTAGTCATAATTTTTAATTAATATATCCTATAACTCATTTTTATTTCCATCATAAAATTCATTTAAAAAAGTTCTCTAAAATAAGATTCATTCATAAAATACTCCCTATTTTCCTGAAAGTTCGTCTCACTTTGCATTTGTGCGGTCTCCAATGAACATCTTTGACCATTAATATCTTCGGCTATGTATCAGTGAAAATTATAAAAAGTTGATATTTGAAAATTTTATAATTAGGGAATCTAATAAGATCCCATATGCTAATTTATTTATATTGTATAAGGCATAAATGTGATCAAAGTTATTTTATTTTGACCCTATAAATAGTAAGTGAGTCGAACTTTCAGAAACAGAGGTAGTATATATTTAATCACACACTTTTATATGTAGATGGTCACACCGTACGTGCGGCCAACTATTATAGGGGATACTTCATTAGTGCTATAGGGGTTAACCAATTAGTGTTATAGGGGTTACTTTCATTAGTGTTATAGGGGTTAACCAATTAGTATTATAGGGGTTACTCAATCAGTATTATAGGAGATACTCAATCAATGTCAGGGGTTGCTCGGTCCTTTTTATAGCGGTTACTTTGTCCGGCCACATGGTGTGGCTAGCCGCATACAAAGCGCGTAAATATTCAATTTGTTAAAAATAATAATAATAGAGAATCAGTAGAAATAAGTTTTAATTAATCAGTAAAAATAATTTTAGTTTGGTAAAAATACTTTCAATTCATTGAAAATAATTTATTTCAAGTCAATAATAACATAGATATATTATTACAAACAAAACTACAAAAATACGCTGTCATATAAATATAAGCGATATGATATTGTATAACTAAATATCCTGCATTATCAAAACGAATTATATGACCGTATTTAACATTCAAGTCAAAAAATTTATCCTAAAATTTTATCAACCATTTGGGTATCGCTCGGACACAAAACTAGTTATTAATTAAAGGTGTAAACAAGCTATATATGAATATCATTAAGCATCTCGAGCTCAATTGAAGCTCGTTTATGTTAGCTTATATTCCAAATAATATTGTTTAAAAAAAAAAAAAATATTCCAAATAATATTGAATGAATCAAGCTTATTAGCTTGAACTATTTTTGAAACTCAGCTTGAGGATAAATATAGATATATACTTGTTCACAAGAGTTCATGAACAATTTATTTATTTATGATGATGAACAAGCTAATTATAAGTAAGGGTGTTCGCAATCCGAGTAGGTATGCAGCATTGACACTTTTGAGCATATCCCAAACCATATCGTAAAAATACATGCTTAATTAAACTCGTGCGTCTCTTCCTTATCGATCAAGCTAGAATTTACTACATGCGTGCAAAATTCATGATACTATATCTCTATTTTCACGAGATATGCAAGCAAGTTATATTATCCAAATGGCTTAAAATTTTAAAGTTAGGAGACATGAACATAAATTGTACATATGCCATATATATATGGTTGTTAATTTGCTACCCTGTCAATTTTTTTGCAGCAACTTTTGTGTGCGGATGGTCATACCGTGCTGCCAGTTGATACACTCCAAGTAACCTCTGACCGAGTGAGTAATCTATAATTGACCGAGTAACCTCTAACCGAGTAATTCCCGACCGAGTGGGTAACCCCTATAGCACTAACAAAGTAACTCCCATAATGGTAACCACATATAAAAGTTTGTGATTTTTTTGTACCAATATATTATCCTTATCTTTATCATCAAAATAAAAATTAAAAAGGATAAGAAAATTCCTCAGCTTGTTGAAGAAAATAACTACTGCATTTGACATGATCCTTACTTTGAAGAGGGTTGGGCAGTAAAAAAGGATCAAACTAAAGACTTTAACTATAATTCGAAAATGTCGATATCCTTATTAACTGCCAAGTTTACCTTTGAAAATCCATTTTTCAGTTATGGACGGTGGCAGGATTAATAAAAATACCCCAGATATTCGTCACTCGTACCAGTTTAACTAAGACACTTACCTAGTTTTTAATTTTTATTTATCTATTTTATTAAAATTAAAATACTCTTATAAGCGTGTTTTTAAATTTATCTGTTTTCTTTAGATTGTTTATATATATATATATATATATATATATATATATATATATATATATATATATATATATATATATATATATAGTGTGAAGATGTAATAATATATGGAGTATGAAGTACTTCCTCTATTCTTTTTTACTTAACCTGTTCCTTTTATCACGTTTACCAATGCAAAACTTTAACGATTAATAACTTTAATTTTTCATAAGTAAAAATTATAAAAGTTATAAAATATAATAATACTTATTAAGACGAATTCAAAAAATCTCACATGAATATGTTTTCCTTATATATTATTCACAAAAGATAGTCAAAGAAGGAGAGGTGAATAGTATAAAAATCAAAGCAGGTCAAGTAAAAAAAAAACCAAGGAAGTATGATTTGAAAATTAAAGTAAGGACTACAACTTCTTACTTCTTAGGTAGTACTGTATTTTGTATTAAATTCATCTTCTATTCAAAATACACAAGAGCTGAACAATATGGTAGAATGACACGTGGACATGAGACAGTGAGACATGTCTCAACTCTCAGTTACCATTTAAGTTTTTTAGACATACTTTTTTAAGTTGACACTCATTTTAAACTACGTTTGTCGAAGCTCTAGTTCGATGACTAATATTTCTTTATCAACAAATAAAAAAATTATTAAAAAATGATACTGATTATGAAAATATACATTAAAATGATTCAAATAATATTTCATAGGACTATTTTATATCATACTCAATAATAGAAAATTATAAAAAATAATCAATATAAAATTTATAATTAGGTCAAAAATAAAAATGCATCAACAAAAAAAAAAAGAAAAATTAACTACTCGTAAGATCGTAATAGCGAGCAGGGTAAGTTGCTGGCCAAACACTTGACACAAGACTTGGCCAAATATGGTTGATAATGACTGCTCTCAGAATATTATAGATATCTCAAAACAGAAAAAATAAAAAAATAAAACCCGTAAATTTATAGATGATGACTGCTCAGAGAGCTGACTTCCAACGATTTTCAGTCAAATAGTGCTGCAAGCAGCTAACCGCCGTCCATCTATTGCATGGATACCACGTGGCTCATATCTATCGGTGAAGCTGCTCTTCAACCCCGATTTACTAGGCCGGAGCTTTTGAAATGGGTTGGAATACACTTAAAATCCATTTAATCCATTTTATTGTTTAATTAAGCTTTTTAATCATAAAACTCATACAGTCATACTAATGAGATTTTGATTTCTAAATTCTAATTCTATCATATCTCCTTGGAATCTCATATCCATTACATTAATGAAATGTAAAAATCACGCCAACAATAAACAAAACAACTTTAGAATAGTATGAGATTTTAAATCCATATTTTCCTAAATCCCGATGGACCAATTCCTTTAACTAAAAGAACCAAACGCTCCCTAATAAGTACTCCATCATAACATATTTTCATTTACTCTCTAATTTTTCTAAGTGTCCCCCTATTTTGATCGATACATTTATTGGTGTGAAATTTAACTAATTGTGTAACTAATTATCAACAAATATAGGTAAATTTTTTTTGATATTCAAACTATTTATATTGAAAATATTCTATGTTATATATAAAGCACAAATATTGATCAAAGATAACGCGGGTTGAAAATGTTGTCTACCAAATACCTAAAGATGATAGAAAACTTAACGGGCTTAAATTATACTGTTCTTGATTAGCCTTTTCAATTATAAAGTCCTCTCAAAAGTAACAAATTTGTTTAATCAAGGGAAAATTCTATCTCTTGGTTAAGTTTTGTGTTTATCTTCATAAAAAGTGGAACATAAATAATGTCTTAAAAGTGATTTGCTAAAAATCAAATATTATAACAAAGTAGGTGTATGAAAAGGTTATGATAAAATTTTTAAGACAAAGTCGGCATACTTTTCACATAATGTATGAGCTAATAAAGGCACTAATTGAGGAAAATGAGATTAACTTATCTAAATCCGCGGTTTATGATGTAATTATAATCTTTAAGAAAATAGATTTATTAAGTAGCAAAAAAGCCTAATCCACTAACAAAATTTCCCCTAAGTATCAACTGTCCCCAAAAGAATGCTATTGATGTGTGTACATGCAGTATATCCAAATAAAGAGAGTTACATTTTACAAGCAATATGACCTAACTTATTGAATCAATCAAACAAGCAATATATTTTCCTGTACATCAGCTCTACTTAATGACAAATATGGAGCTCGGAGCGTTTCTATCGCTTTGTGAACATCCCTTGGGTTAAGAACGAGAAGTCATAGTCGTATCCTGATACTGGCAATGCTGCAGGAGGCCTCCTAGATGGGGCAGTTGAAACCCTTCTTAATGGAATTGCAGGTGTATACAAGCTGCAGGAATCCATGGTTCGAGTTTATACACGGTTGGGAAGGTGAAAGAGAATGAAAGTTCTCCAAACAAAACAATGCACAATTTGCATAACAAGTTCAGAACAAAAAAGGGCCAGATCATATCAGATCCACCTTGGCATCAAATGCTATATTCTGCATAAGCACTCTTACCTGGACATCGTGTATGGAGTAGAATTCATTGCCAAATTCACAGCTTGGGAATTTTGCACCTATAACAAATAATACAAGTACATTGAAGTTAAAACAAAATACTTGGCAGTTGGCATATTGTTTCAATGTGTAAGATAGTATTATGTGAAATGTCTCAATTACCGGCATCTGAGTTCCTATTGTGCCTACTGCACCATTTCCATTTACATTCATCTGATGATGGATACTACCAGCAGAAGTTGGGGCATTTGTTGAAGATACACCTTCAGCAAGCATTGCAAGTCGTTGAAGATGGACAGAAGGTGAGGAAAGCATGTTGGGCTGCAGGAGTAAAATTTCACGTTATCTCTTTAACTAATTCTGATTAGATACACACACATTGATCTCAAGCTCAAAGGACAACAACCTATAACCACTTGCTATCCACAAGTCAGGTCTAAATTTAAACAGTTCTGACTAAAATTATATAGTGCTCACGAAAGCTTGGCATCATGCTTCTGGTTAATGTGCTACAGATTCATACTTTCGCTAAGTATGTTGGTTGTTGACCAACCACTGAATGGGACAGGCATTGTTTGAGCCCTTTTTCCAAGGTGATTTCAATGCCTATTCAGGCAAACTCTTGTCACCTTAATTTCTGCCTGTTTGCATCAAGATTTATTAAGGATTTAAAGTTTAAATACCCCTATGCTTATTGCTTATAGAGAGTCTGCAAAGTAACATGATTCTAGATTTCCTTTCATAGGAAAGGAGTCGTCTTGACCTCTCTACATAGAATAAGAGTTACATTACATACACTATATTGGGGCATATAATAGACAAAACTATTACAGATGTTTATTTAATAAAATAATATGAAATCCTTATAACGATAGGTTGGGCTGATGTCACAAGTTTATCACATGATGCCGTAATAAGGGGTTGTTTAGTTAATGGAATACAATGTTGGAAGTAGTAATTTCAGAGTTCCAAGGAAGTAGGCTTTTGTATGCTGTTTGATTGGAACTTGGAAGCAACAAGCAAGCATGTAAAGGGGAGGAAGTATTTCACAAAATAGTGCTTCTTAGGAATGAAGTACAGCTAAAACTTCCTTTTGAAGCCTGCACTACCTACAAATGAAGTAAATTAAGCACTTTTCCTAATTGTTAAACGGAGTAATTTCTAGTTTTAAAGATATATACTTGATGATTAATTAAGAAATAAGTAGAACATAAACAATCTATTGATAAGCCCTTGAATGATTTGTTTTGCTTTGGCCGGAAAAGGAAAGGCAGAAATAACAAGAGAATTTACTCATGAGCCCTCTCTTTGTTCGACTAACAAAGAATTCTTTCTTTAATGCTTAAAGAGATTTGAAGGAAATTATTGTTATGATAAAGAGCACATTCCTCACTCTAAGGATCTAGCAATGGGTGGAGCCACCTAGAAGTATACTTCAGTACTTAAACAATTAGGAAAATGAACCCAATTAATAATATTTCTATTTATGCCAGACCAACATCATTAAATTTATGACCGGACAATATCATCACAGATAAAGAAGATTGATTCCTACTCGTAGGCTAAATTAATAAAGTATCTACCTTCTCTAATTGAATGCTTTAAAACCAGGGAATCACTTTAATGCCAGTCAAAAGATATATGGAGAATTTCTCATAAATTTTAATATCAACATGAATCATATGAAACATATCTTTCTTTCTAGAACTATAGAGCATATAAATAAAAGGAAAATGTACCTTCTCTGAAAGGCTTTGGTTATCATTTGTAACATATTTCTGATGTTCACCAGAATGCCCATTTGAAAATGGAGCTGTCACCATTAGGACATCCACGGTCATTGGTTCAGGGTTGACCTTACTTGCTGAAGATTTTAGAGTCAAATTTGGCTCGTAAATTGAGGCTTTTTCTACAGCTGAATTCGGAACAACCTTTCCTTCTGATGTTGATGATTCTTGGTCAGCTGCATGTAACCATAAATTAAGCTAAGAAACACAATTGAAGGGAGAGAGTAAAACAACGCTTCTTAAACAAAAGATAAGATACTTAGAGCAGGGAGCTTACAATCAAAATGAACCCATGAACTTGTATCAAAACTCGAGTCATTGTCGGAAGAATCATCCATGCATAGTGTTATGAAACATTCAGAATCAGCTTTCGAAAAAGGGACAGCAGTCATGGCATTAGCAGTTGACGATTTGATTTTCAATTGTTCTTGTTCTGACTTCCACAAGCTGGCATTAGGGAGTATTCTAGGGATGACCTGTTCAGCACATCATCCATGTAAGCAAAGCTATTAACTGAAATCAACAATTCAACATCCTATGCACCAACATGTTGTACAACTGTTCGTAGATAATGTGATGCTATGTAATTAATAACACACCGCTTTTATCAAGTACTAAGTTATTCACTGAATCAGTATTTGGAGGAACAACAGCGATACGCAAGAAAGAAACCAGAATTAAGAGCAAAGGCAGTTCTTACTTGAAGTTTTAGATTCCAACTACAAAAGTCTATGGCAACATATATTATCTCAAGTAAAAACAGATTTAACACGGATATTATCTTTCTGTTCTCTAGTAAAAGGCTATGACTCTATGTGCAGTGTCTTACTAAGATTTCTCTAGTTTCAACTGTTCTTTAGCAATTTGGAGTAAATAATATTAGCGCACACAATGTATCCAAGAAAACGTAACTTGAACATTTATAGAAAATTTCTAACAAGCCAAACATGGAATCCCATCAAACCAATGATCAACAGTGTAATCAACTAGTAGCAACAGATTATATGAGTCATATGACTATGACTATTAAGAGATGATAAAGGATAGTATGATGGGTCGAAATTAGAATACTTGTATTTTATGCAAAGGGACGACTATCATGACGAATCAACACAAGAACATAGCAACCAACTAAAGAAAGCTGCATGTACTGGTAAGGAAGAGGACACAAGAAAGAGAAAGAGTAAGTACTTGTGCTGGTTCTGTAGGTTTGCCATTAACACTTTTCGGTTTAAGAGAAAATTTCATAGATGGTTGACAGTTCTCATTCTTTTCCTGCTGTTGATGTTGATGTTCATTTTTATTGCCTGTTAAATCTTCAGTATTGCTAGGACTTGAGCTTGCCCTGTCTCTTTCAGCCGTTGAGCAATCTCTTCTCTCTTTGCATATATGTTGGTTGTTAGTCCATTCTGCAATGGCGCCAAAGCGCCTTGTTGAGCGACTAAAAGTTAGCTGTTCTTTAGAACTAGAGCTTGAAATTAGCTTGGCCTTCGAATTTCTTGGAATCCATCTTTTTTCAACATACCTGAAAAATTAGGTTTGTATTAGAAAACATCTAAGAGCCTTGAACAATTGAACAGGAAATTTTTTGGACACATTCAAAAGCAAAACAACACCATGCAATACCAATTTTTCTATGAGTCCGTACTTTGCATGTATGAAATTTTCAATTTGATTACTATCATAGTTCACAGGCAACTCCGCTTCCCAGTAGGCATTGGATTTGTCATTTCCCACAGCTGCAAAACAGTATGTCAAAACGCAAAACCATTACTCCGTATCACAAAACTCAAATCCAGAATACAGAAGACCATACATCAAGTGGAAAGATTTACTGGCACATTTGATACAAAGGAACTACATTACCTTGCATTAAGGCAACCTGCTCCGGGAGCCATGTGTCTAGAGTGGTAGATCGCACCTGCAGTAAGATCAATGTTTTTAATAACACTATAATAGCAACATAACTTTGAAGAAGACAATAAAACATGCAGGATTCACAAGTAAGTTTTAAATTTCTACACTCTAAGCTGAACATATAAAGGAAAGGAAAGCAAAGCTACTACTTGTCCACAGAATACGAAATTTTGACATAGATGATAATTGATTCTCTAGGAGTGCAACAATTTGAGAGAACTAAATATCATTAACTTCATTAATTCATTCCTTCCTTAAATCACAAAAACAGCCATCATAAAGTACTAATTCATCTAATATATTATCATGTTCGAGTGTAAGATCAATGAATAACAACAAATTAAGAAATTGTTTCACCACAAGTATTATGAGTCTATAAGTGTATACTTATAGCAAATTGCACTACTAATGGTGTGTTCTATTCACCCAATTTTCACTTATTTAAACTTATCTGAACTTAACTGAACTTATTAGAACTTAGTATACACCATTCAATGCTACAAACACGAAAGTTTGGAGAAATAGACACCTTAGATATATGTACTCCAAGACTCCGATGAATTCCGGAACATTGCAGGCATATAAATATCCCAAGATTGATGCTGGCCCATCTAGGAGCTCTGCAATTAACACATAATAACAAAATAACCTTAGTAATCAAGTAGTTTAAGGGAATAAAATATAGTCCTACACTAATTAAACTCATCACATAAGCTTAAGCTAGTGTGTATGCATACTTGCTTCTGCAATCAGCACACTTCTTATTTTCTGGTAACTTAAGAAGCCCCTCCAATATCTGCAAACAACACCAATATACCATTATTTCTTTTGACTTTATATTATTTTTTATAACAGAAATTCTGTATTTCATAAAAATTATCACACTAAGGACTTGCATAAACACATCAATTACTTAATTAGCATGAAAAAAAAAATTGATTTCACCAAATCAACAATAAAAAAAATCAATAATAAGTTGAGATTTCATTTAAGATTGAGAAATAGAAAATTTCAACAATGCTTAAAAATTTAGATTTTAATAATGGACCATCGAGAATTTGTCTTTCTATCGAATAACATAATTCTGCAGAGATTAAACAAGAAAATCCTGAAAAAGATTAAAAAAAATCTTAAGTTCAATCACAATTACTTCAGATAACAGTAATTTTACTAAAAAGGAGTGCAAATCAAGAATTATAAACCAATACATCAAATCAAAACAAATAAAGGAAATTGACCTTGATGTGCCTAGCAGAAGTAGAAACAGCAGGTTTTGGGTTCATAGTAGAACGCTTTCGACTCCAAAACATAACCAAAAAAACCAAGAAAACAACTGGGAAAAAAAAAGGGGTTCAACAGAGGAAAAAGAGAGATTTTTTAAGAAAAAAGAAAAATTAAAGAGATGGGTTGATAATGGTGGAGGAATCTAATGATGAAAGAATAAACAGAGAAGAAAGTGGGAAAAGGAAGAAGAAGAAGAATAACAAGAAAGACGAGTAAAGGGAGGGAATTTAGGAAGTTTGGCAACTGCAAATACTCTTTTATCAGACTTCCCCTTTCTTAATTTCTTTGATGGTCGGTTTGGCAACCGTTTCTTGTTTTCCCTCTACTCCACTCTCCTTATGTTATTTATATATTTCCTCCGTTTTTAATGAGTTCACACATTTTTATAGTCACATTTTCCAATGCATAAATTTAGCTATTTATATATTTAATTACAGATAAACAAAAATTATATAAAGTTGATACTTTAAAAATATATATCGTGGCAAATCTAAGAAAATCCTAAATAATTATATTTTTCATTACATATAAGTCACAAAACACATTCGAAGAGAAATGTATGGATAGTATTAACTTTTAGTTTGAGTAGAATTTAAACTCATGCAATGTAGTAACCTACAAAATTAAATATTTATACCAATTACCAAGATAAAAATATCTTTTTTTTTTTTAATCTAGTTAATTATGTGATACATATACAGTGAAGACATTTCCTTTAATATCACTTCAAAATCAAATATTTTATTTGTTCTAAAATAAATGTTTTGATTCCTAAAAAAAAAAAGTTTTGATATTACTTTTACACTATTCACACACACCACTTTGACTTATATTGGTGCTTAATCCATTTTTTTTTGGTGTTCCACCCGCTTCACCCTTTGGGCTAATCCGGATTTGGGGCTCAGTTCTGAATGGTTAGGTTTCAGTCCCCTCCCAATTGTTGTTGCGGGGGATCAAACATGCGGTCATCCCTACCAAGTGTAGCCTCAATCACCACTACACCAACAACCAATTGGTATTGGTGCTTAATCCATAAGATTAAACATATTCATACTAGTATTACGTAATATTTGTTAAACACAAAATTTTATATGTGGTTGACCACACCGTGTGGCTAGGGTTACTTATTTAGGGTTTACTTGATCAGTAAGGGGTTACTCGGTTAGGAATTATTTAGTTGGTCAGGGGTTACTCGACCATAGGTTACTCAATCGGTCAAGAGTTACTCGGTTAAGGGTTACTCAAGGGTTACCCGTTTAATGTTTTGGTGTGTGATAGTCGACCATAGTGTGGCTAGCCACACAAAAAAGCACTGTTTGTTAAAATTGTCTCATTATTTATTTTTTGAGTAATAAAATATTATTAAAACCAATTTTAGTATAGAGTAATAAGTTCTGATCTATAACTATTATTAAAATAACAACCGCTGACATCATTTTTTTCCCTAATTGTACACATGTCAAATTGTGGTAAAAAAAATTTCTGCCTAAAATATATGTGATGTCATCACTTTATTTTATTTTTTTTAGTTAAAATTTTTGGTCAACTATTTCACTATTCATTTTTTTTTATAAATTGAAAATTTATTATATTAATTACTATCCGAATTTAGTCCAATAACTTTGTAATTGTGATAACATGAGTATAACAAATTTATTTGTTAAAATTGACTAATCTAGTAAGATACTTATACGGAGTATTACACAACAATATTGATACAACAAAATTGTGAAATGGCTTATATGAGTATATTTTTAAAATTCTTAAGTAGATTAGAAATGGCTAATTAGGTGCTTACAACTACTAACCAAACAACATAATTTATGAGCTTATGAAGCGGGTACCAAATCAATTACTAAATTAGGAGTAAGTACGTAATTAGAGTAGCATTATGATTATGGAGAAAGTTCAAATTAAAGAAATTGATTGGTTGAACTATGACATATTCCTCTAATGTTGGTGTTCAAACATCGGGGGTTAATATAAATTTATAAGTCAAAAGAGATTACATCAATATAAAACTTGTCAAAGAGTTTTAGTCAAATGTTGTGTTCTAGTCGAGGAGACTTTTGTTGATTTGTTGAGAAGTGAGCCGCAAATTAAAATTAATTGAACCGCATTATTAATAACGTCCAAATTGTCCGATCCAATAATCTCACCTATAAATACATTGCCTAGTTCTAGCACTATCTTAAATTTGGCGTTAAATTATTTAAAACATGAGCACTAGTAACTTCTCCGTACTTTACATAATCTAAATTAACATGTTTAACATTCATCTATTGCTAGTGTACTTTAAACGAAAATTAATTTATTCCCTACATAATATATGCGCAGATCCAAATAAAATTAAGTAACCTATAATAATAAATTGAATGAGTAACACCTGAACATAATATGAATTGAGTTGATTTCAACCAAATCAATGGCTTATAGTGACTCTTTATTTTTTTTAAGGATAATTACTTATTTTTGGGTATATTCTATTGTCTTACAATCTCAACAAAACACGATAAACAAACAAACACACGTTAAGGGCTCCACATAACATACAAATAGATAATTTTAAAATTATTAATGTATTGCATTGCTAAGATTTTCTTCCTTCGATACAATTTTAAAATGAACTTATCATCAGTTCAAACCAAGTAATTTCAACAAAGCTTAGCTTGTAGCTCGTATATGAAGTATAATATTTCATTGTATACAAGATACAACATTTGAAGGGGACCTCTTATAGTTAGTTTTTTTTTTTTTTTTTTTTTTTTTTTTTTTTTCTTCTTCTTCTTAGCTTAAAAAAAAATCTATTAAAAGTCAATTTTGTGTGGATGTAAAGTTATAGTAGTTCAAAGTTACTAGAGGTTAATCCAAAACATGATATTGTTTTTGTTTCTTTTAAATAATAATAACAAACTCCATGATAGTCAATTTTTTTTGAGATTTAGTATATATAATTAGGATGAGTATACTTGTTCTGCATGGTTTATTTATGTTATATTTGGTCAAAGAAATGGAGCGTATTCATTTCATTACGGCCCTATAAACTATAGAATAGTTCTAAAAAAAAAAAGACTATAGAATAGTTTTAGCAGCCTCCACCACTCTAATGAGGCTAATCTGTTAAAGCACAACTAGTCATCTCTCATTACTGGAATTGGACCCATTTTGCCACTTTGGTAGGGTGATTATCACATTTTTATTAGCTGTTTAATTAGGCCGTACCTCATACTAGCCACATTGTCAATCCAAATCAACTACCATACTTTGTCATCAACTAGAACTAGCCAAGTGGCAAACACGTTGGTTTTGTTCGAGTGAGTCACTACTCGTTCAATTTGAAATTGGGTTAGGTCATATTTAGGTCTGTTGTTAATCAACTCATTTCAAACAATTAGTTTTAATCACACTGATACTCAAATCAAGCCGCTTTAAAAGTTCAATCTCTAATTGGTTTAATTATAAAGATACCAGGGTATGATTTTGATTTGAATTAAGTCTTTTCACATTTGATGATTTGGATCAAGTTATTTTTGACAAGTCTATTCATTACAACAACAACAACAACAAAGCCTTAGTCTCAAAATGATTTTGGGTCAGCTAACATGAACCGTCATAAGAAATAGTAAGACAAGTCTACTCATTAAATTAGAAAAATCTGTTAAACCAAACTAATGTGATGTAATGTCACATTTATTGTGAGATATTTCAGTCATTAAATCTGAGTCACAAAACATTTTTGTGAATCACACAAGGATTTCAAATAGCAAGTTAAATTTGCCAATTTGACGTATTGACCAACTTGTATCAATATGACAGCATACAGCACTGCATCTGTATATTACAGACAAACTTAGCATCTTGATCCCACCAACAGACATTATTCATGTTCACTTAACATCGTAACAGCAAGAAATACAACGATGATGATAACGAAAACAACAAGATTAAAGTTACACAAAACCAGCCTTTAACTATACAAACAAAGCTCTAATTTTCGCTACTGAGCTAAGAAACGAGATATAAAGTAAACAAAACTGTACTTTATCTTTTACAGTCTCCAGAGATAACAGGATCAGTAGCAGCATCATGCTTACTAACTAGTAGCAGATATGCTGTATGAGTGTTTTTTCGCCTTAAAAGTGGTTATATACGACATGATCTGATTCTCATCCGTTCTTCAAGCAGGGTAGAGTTAGAGCCATTTTGCTCGGACAAAGGCTCACCCCGAGCTCTCAAAAACATGTTAAGAGTCAGAGGAAATTTATCACATTTATAGTTATTGTTCTTCAGAAAGTTAGATAAGTTATTTGTGTACTCCTCGTCATTGTAAGTGTTCTCTTGTTCGTCATACTCCTCATCTGATTTAGTTGATTCCTCATCAACAGATCCTTCAATCTGCTTAGAGTTGAACATTATTATAAGTCGACAATCATATAATTCTATGAAACTATTCACTAGTAACAAAGTCCCAATCTTTTCGAGCATAACAACCAAACACAGGATCATCATATGCAAGAGTTTTCTTAAACACAACTTTGTAACACAGTTCTGATAATCCTGCAGTATATTGTCTAGAGAGAAACTCTCGTTCAGTTCTAAGATTGGACATCTCTTGCAGAATTAACGTAAGAAAATGGTCCGTGTGGATCGATCCAATTACAAAATATGGTATACAGCTTATTAATTCAGAATCATTTCTTTAACCCTCAAAGAGAAGCAGCAGCTATGGGAGGTAACAAGGTATGGATTATAAATTTTATCACTAAATGAGTCACTATTAGTAAGAACAGATTGGTAAGCCCAAAAGCCCATTACGGTACTAATGTACTGTACTGTCATACCACTTATATCCAGCACATACAAGGCTACAAGCAGCTAAGGGCCCAAAGTTATACAGGGCCCATGACTCCATGAGCCCAATTTGACAAGGCCCAAATGAACAACTTAACAAATACCAACCCTTGTATTTATATGTATAGTTGTATACTAGTATACTACCAAAGGAGCAAGGTAAGTAAGGTGACAGATTTACTCTTATGTTCCTCAATGATGAATCCTAATTTAAGATAATATACACTTTCTCTGTTCCCCTAATATTACAACATGGGTGAGGGACACGGATTTTAAAAAGAGGTTAGAGATAGAGAGGAATAATGATAGAGACCCATGTGATGAGGAAAGAGAACAAGAGAAAACATGTGCAAATAAGGAAATGTAGCAATATTTGTGAAACTTCCTAAAATGGTAATTGTTGAAATATTTGTGAAACAGAGGAAGTATAATCTAAACCTCGTTCCTAAAAGAGGATCTGCATCTAGGAAAAGAAGACTTTCTGTTGCAAAAATAATAGTCGAGTTTTAATATACTAGTGTGGTGACTATTGCCAAAATTATCAAATACATGTGCCTATTCAGCACATCAGAAATCATTTAATTAAGAAAAAAAACCCTCAGCAGAAACATTAGTTAGTATAGATGAATACCTCTTCATCATGAGTATGTTTGTCACCATCACTGAGATCTTCATCACTGTCTAGCTCAGCGAGGTCATCAACCTCTTCATCACTGCCGGAAACAGATTGTTCCTCCTTGACCTGTGTACACAATTATTTTTACTAAAGTCCGGAACACAGTACTCTTCTAAATTCATTGTTCACTCATTTCATGTAATGTAATCCTGGAAATATGAGATGTTTTGGTAGAAGATTCAAATGAAAATAGAGAATTACCCTCTTAGCTGGTCCACTAGGAAGCCGAGGAGAGCTGCAGCAAGAAGAGTAGCATCTGCTGCTAGTCTCAGTACAAAGCCAATCAGTTCTAGATTCATCGAAGCTGCTAGCATGACTAGTTCCCCCAGTATCCTTTGGCCAGGCACTTATGCCAAAATGACCAAACTGAATGTTCACAGGCTCTGCCTTACCAATTTGCAAAGATGCATACATTGGTGATCCACTATTGTCTGTAGAATCAACTGGCCAAGCTTTTGCTATAGAGCCATCGTTGTTGACAAAAGCCATCAGATGCCTTGATGATCCCTTCCTTTGAATCAACTGAAAAATCCCCTTCGAGTTCCAAGAATGTGCAGCACATTGGTTCTTATACTCCTCAGAAATTATACTCACAGTATTGGTAGCGGGATCATAAAGCTGCTCCCCAGCTTCACGCCTCTTTAGGCAGCTAAAGAGTGTGGCGTGGATAGCTGCCACACTTTTATCAACATTCGTGTTGTTAACTTTTGGCACTAGATGCTTGTCTGCTCGGTTGCATAGATATTCTTGTATTCTCCTAATATTTCGGATGTATTTCACATATTTGTTTTTTGAAGGGTCCAGTGTCATGTACTTGGCACGAACAGCAAATCTTTCTAAATGCTTATCTTCATTTGATATGTATATCATAAAAGGTACTATTGAAGGATGTTTCTTCATGAGTCCCATCTGCAAACATACAAAAAAGAAGTTAACTGTGTGAAATGTATTACTGCCTCTTTTGCACATTAATATACATATAACGATGTATATTACTTTTCTAGACTTCCCATATTAATCCATATTCTCTTGAAAATCTTTTTTGATCCTGTACTTTTTCTCTAAAGTTGCAAGCTTTTTTCTCTCTACTCTTCGTGCCAATCTCAAGTGTATAGATTACTATAGGACAAAGAAGTAACTTATTTCATGCAACTATTTACTCACCACAAAATTGAGACTCAAATGCACCCCTTCAATGATTACTGATTCTTTCCTTTCTTCCCAAGAAGTAATAAGGCGTTCAAGACTCTCAATGACCATTTCACTTTGAGCTTTGAATCCTTCAACAGCCATTTGTTTTGGACTTATGAACTGTTCAGTGTTGTTACCAACTGCCTCTGGCTGCAGGCTATCAGGTTTCTCGTCTTGAGTTGAGTCACATGATTGAGTTTTAGACACGGAATAAGACATTCCAGCCATCTTTCTAGCCTTCCTTCTAGATTTTGCTTCTGCAACAGCAACAGGATCTAAACACTCCCCTGCATGATAGGTTGAAGCCCACAGCAATGGATTATTTTTCTCATCCACAAAACTCCTCATCATGTGCCGGATAGAATCCGTGGATATGACAGTTGTGATTCCCAATCTGCTAGCCTGAAAACAAATTGTAAATTTTTAGTAAAACAATTTTTGTAGAAAAAAAAGAACAAAGACGACACTACATGAATAAAAGACATACAATCAGCATAAAGTAGCTATACTCTTTCAGGTATTCTCAGGGATATAGACTTCACACAGTTCAGAATGAGAGAGAACGACAGACCCCAGATAAATTCACCAGAATAAGAACATAAAGATGCTACCTAATGTTGACAGTTAACACTGACGTGAAGAATCTATGAATACCAGTATTGAAGACAATGTGGACTTTCCGCAGCCACTAGTGCCACACAACAGGACAGTTAGAGATCCCTTCCTTTCACGAATCCTGGAATCATAAAGAAGTTCCTGAGCATGTGAAACAAGTATATGCAGATACTATCTAACTAATATACATTGCTAGATTGGAAAAAGATATTCCATCCATATTCACAAAGACTACATAAAGTTTGCAAATACAAAGATTAAATCAGAGAATGAGCACAAATAACTTCACTGGCCGACAACAAAAATGTCTTCTAAGTACAAATTATCAGAAAATCACGAAGCAAAATATACTGTATTTTTAAGACCTCACAAGGAAACTAAATTCTTGGAAATACAATGCTATTCATGAAAAGTTGGACTGTTTTGTAAAATAAGCAATAAAGAAGTTAAGATTTCTGGCTTGATGCATCATATTCTCATGAACCAAACAAAGAAAAAATTTAAGTACTTCGCCCTGCATTCAAAGAGCTACCATATATAGATAATAAAATTTAAAGGCAGAAATCTACCTGCAAGCCAAAATCAGATCTGCCCTTTGATTGGGACCAATGTATTTATATTCAGCAAGAGCCTCACAGACAACGTCTAAGAACTTGTCTCTGCTGATGGTTACAGTTGTGCGCCTTTTGTACAACTCAGAAGGCACATTCTTATTACTTTCTTCTTTTTCTTCAGACTTAACCAGCTGAGTACTTGAAGCATTGGAGTAAAATCTTCCTACAATGTCTTTGTCATCCTTAAAGCTTTGACTTTGCACGCTTTCAAAGACCCTCTTACTAATCTATACAAAGGGAATAAAAGGAACTTAAATTCAAGGGAGTTTGTAGCAAATGAAAGTTGTCATGTAACTATACCAAAAGGTCCAAAACTAAAGCAGCTTTAGATCATATAAAGTGAAATTTGATAAACAGTTTCATGTTAAACAACAATCAATCAAACAATTATCAAGATTTATGAGTAAAAACTCAGGGTATTGTATCATCAGCTTATCATTAAAAACCAGTGCATTTGATTGATGAATTATCGAAGAGATCCATGCACAGATCTCCTTCAGGACATCAGATTCCATTAAATGTTACACTACCTATGTTCTTTTGTGCTATTGCCTAAGATTATGCAGCGTTCAAGATCGTCAAGTGAAAACTAAGGCATAACTATATCTTATAGTAAAAACGGAGAATGGGTTAGCAGGAAAATAAATTTTGTTAAAATCAGAAGATTCAGAACCATATATTGAATGAACAATTTCATGATTTCTCTCTTTTGATTCAATTGCTTGCTGTACATTGTAAAAACGAAGATTTTATCTTAGGAACAAACCAATCAAAGTGGATTTATTGGCTATCTAGTCTGACATGGCTAGTTTGCTACATGTCCATGTATCATAATCAGCCATTCTGTGAAAAATTTCCACGGCTTTGGCCTTAATGAAGAGTTCAAGACCTTCAAGTGTCCTAACCATGACAGAATGTCGAGGATCTAGCATAGGTAATTGAAGTGAAATGAGGTGTGTGGGTAACATAGTATCAACCGGTGTTGTAGTATTTAAAAAATAAAAACTTTAGGAAAAAAAATCAACAAATTAGTTCTAAAACCAGCAAACTAGATAAAGGCAACCAGAGCTTGTAAGTGCCAAGTATAGTGGGTATAAAGTTAACCAATATCTAAGAATATTAGAAATAGCTTAAACTTTAGGAAACAGAATATGAATCTTTCTAAAGCAAGTGAACTTGTAACTAACAAGCTCTTTCAAAATGCCGCAAGAAACGAAGATTTTTGCTTTAATGGAGAGAGATTAGCATAAACACAACTATAACAACCGATCTTTAGGTAATATCATGCCATATCTTTAGTTACGAGGGGCCTTAACAAAGAATCTTTCTGCAATTTCATGTCAAAAGCCTTATCTTTAATTATGAGGGGTTAGGACAAGGTGAAGTAACATATGATTTGGAATGAAGGGAGTAAAATACAAGGGAAGATACCCTTAAATTCAAGTCAAAAAGTAAAGAAATTTCTTGTTTCAAGCTTTTACACAAATAAAAGGTTTAAAGATTTTTACTATGCTTTTCATCCTTCAAATCATTCAACAAGTATCAATCTATTCAATTAGCTTTATTGATTAATTGTCCTATGAATTAGGCAAACAAGAGTAATCATAAAAACTCCCCTTCTCTGCACCCAATTTAACACTATCTATTTCTTCTAGCAAACTATACATAAATAGACTTTACATATACTTTACTTCCTCCTTCAACTACCTTCATTTTATTACACTTTTTAGTATTTTGATTTCAAACAACCAAACATGCAATTAATATTCTAGTTGGCTCAACTTACATGACATACCAAAACACCAATTTAACGAACACAAGTTCAAAAGTGCAACGTTCTTTTATTACGAGTAATTTATTTTTCCCCTTTTCTAGTGTAGAGAGAATTACAAACGTCTAAGATTTTAAGTTTGCATTAAAAACTTGCACAAACATCGCGCATAACTTTATTACATTAAACGTTCAACACAATGTAGAAAATTTCAAACAGCGAAGATACAACATAAAAACGATAACAAAATAATAAAAGAGTTTACCTTGGTGGCGTAACGAGGTTTACATCCCATAAGTTGTAGGGTGCTTTGAAGAAGTGAACGCGTATAATGAAAAGAACCCTTCTTCTCACCATTATTTTTCTTATTATTTTCATCATTATCGACTACCACTATGTACAGAATTTTATTCAATTCCTCCATTCCTATAAATATATATATATATATATATATATATATATATATATATATATATACATAAAATTAAATAAAATTATTATATTTCACCAAGAAAAAACAGGGGAATTATAATTACATGCACATACAAAAATAATCTTTCTTGGAAAAAAAAATTGTAATAACAATGTACATGAATGGAACACTAAAATAAATCGATTAAATCATAAAATTAAGAACAAAAGAAATTGAAAACATATAAAATAATATTGAATTCGTACCTAAAACTTTTACAGCAGTGTAATTGTGAGTTCAGAGGAGAAAACCCAGAAAGGATAGAGAAAAATCGTCGCTTTTTTAGGATTAAATTAAAGCGAAGCAATGCATTTTTCGACGTTTTTGTAAAATTAACGCCATTTTTTGAGGGATTGAATCAGAGAAATTTGGAAAATTATATCTCATAAACTTGCTCCGTTGCTCGGTTTATATGTATACGTTTTTTTATGCGAAAAGTATTTATAATTTGCGTCGTTTTTTGTTTTGGATTATTTAGGAGAAGTGTAATGACGAAATTGCCCTCACTCTTTTTGATGGGAAAATGAACGAGTCATTGAATTGAGACTTTGAGAGTGACCGAGTCTATAGATTTATAAGCGAGTTAAAACGTGGGGTCCAATCTTTTTGGTTCTTTCGATTTAGTTTTTCGATGCATCTATAATAATATCTCACTTTTTGTCGTCCTTCTAGTAGGTTGATTTGTAAGTATAATAACGGTGTTGTTTCTTGTGTAGTTGTGTATTGTGTTGGTTTGTTGTTCCTCCAAAGACCTTAAATAGAGCTGGTCACGAGTTTAGCTGAATCGTATTGTAACCAAGGCTTGGCTATTGGTTTATACACTTTTGTTTTGTATTATCGCAATGATTTTTTACGGAATAATTACAATGATAAAACTCGTTTAAAGTATTAAAAAAAATTTAGGATAAAGATCATAGGGTGAATTTTATAATATAAAGTAGGGATAATTTAATTAATAGTTAGAGAAAAAAAAAAACAAACAGTAAAAATGGGGTAAGAAAGAGAGAGAAATATGTATTGCAATAATTATTTTTGTAGGTTTGAGAAAAAATAAAGGGTTATTGCAATAATTATTATTAAGCCGGATGCTACAAACCTAGTGAAGCTACTTCGAGATCCGTCTTGATAATTAATCTTCGACTAGCTAGATTAATGCAAATTATATGTTTGAAGAGCTAAAAATCCAAGTTTCTACCTATCAAGTTATTTATTAGATGTTGGTTAAACAATATCTTTCTTTCCTATATTATTTTGCTTTTCAAACTATGTCTAGCTAATTTTAATCTCAACTGTATCAAATAAAGATCACAATTTAATTAAATACTTTGGATTATAAATGGTTAATCTCAAAATATATATAGTTGATAGACCTTAAGCATTGTTAGTTCAGTCCAATAACAATTCGTAATCTACCCAAATGTCATTGATCTCAATTATATAAGTGAAGGGATGAAGTGATTATGTCCACAGTCCACCTATAATACTTAAAATATCCTTAATTTACAAATTCTTTTAATTATTGAAATAAATTAAAAAATTATCATACATCACTTGCATATAGATCTATTATTACAAAAATAAAGAATGTAAGCGATGTTACAATGTAAAAAAAGGGGATAGATATGCTTGTGAAAAAAAGAAAAGATCAGGGTTGGTAGCATTTGATGATTTAAACCCAAACCTTTATAACAGAATCTATTTAAGTGGGGCTTTCAACTCGGAGAAATCATTGAAAGAATCTATCTCAAGACTCAAGAAATCCCACTATATCAAGAACTTGAGCCAAAAAAATTTTAAAAAGAAAAAAAATTCAAAAAGAAGCAAACAGTTGACCTACTAGAATTTTCTTTGGGATAGTATTGCTTTCTGCACAGCAGTTCGGATCTTAAGATTTAGTTAACACTTGGGTGTATGGACGATCATGCTCCAACTTCTTTTTTTTTTCTTTAAAAAGAGTTATTGTGCATTAAAGAAGAAGAGTTTTGGTGCATTATTATGAAAGAACAAAAGTACCCGTATGTGTACTAAAAATTAAAAGTCTAAAAGAAAGATAATAAATTTAGAGTTTGCAAATTTGTTATTAGAATCGTCTCCTTTTACTTTTTTTTTTAATTTTTTTTTAGTTTAAAGATGAGTACAATTGAAGTAACATGCGGTGTGATATTTCCTTCGATTTTAGTAAAGTAAATTTTGTATCCTTTTATTTTGTATAGAATGAAAATCACATTAATTTCAGTCATATAATTTTTGATTCGAATAATGTCCACGCATTAAGGCTAATTTTGAATCATATAGTGTTAAAGCCTCGGGTGTAATTCAAGTTGATTCTTGTCAGTTTACGAGACAACAGTCCATTTAGCATATAGGTTAACCAATAATTCCAGTTTCCACATGGCAAAATCTGATTATCTAAAATTGGGATTTGGAAACTTTAAGATATTTGTGGACAGTAGTCAAAGAAGAATTCTTTACATACAAGGAAAGGTCGTTGGAAGTTAGTTGGAATCTTTGCGGAATAGTAAAAAGTACTTAATAGAGTCATGTAATCAGTTAAAGGTAAGTTAAAAGATAGTTGGAGCATGCATTCATAAAGCCGTGATGTTGGGGGTTAATTTCATCCTCCAAGGAGAAAAGCTAGGGGTGGCAAACGGATCAGCTCGGGTCGGGTTCGTGTTCGGGTCACCTAGTTTCGGGTCAGGTGACCCCCAACCCGAACCTGATCCATTTAAGTTTTCAGGTTGAAAATCCCAACCCGAACCTGATATTTTCAGGTTCGGGTCAACCCGAAAATGACCTGATTCGACTTGTTTTTTTTTTCCTGTTCGAATTTTTTTAACATATTATACACAACATTCCTTGAATTCTTCTGGATCTATCAATCATAAAACCCAGAAAAATATTCAAACAAAAAACCCAGAAAACAATACAAACAAATCGCAAAAAAAAAAACAAAAAAAACCAGAAAAAATATGTAAAAAATCAGAATAACTAGATCGATGAAGAATAGGCGATTATCAGGAACAAAATGTATATACTTACATTATAATTTCATCAAAAAAAAATTATAATCAGAAATTTGAGAAAAATAAAACTAGATCTACAATCTAACCTAAATTTAAACTAGATCTAAAGTATAAAAAACCCCAACAATAGACGGTGACAGTGATGGTGGTCGGTCGGGCTTGCTGTGACAGTGACGCTGGCTAGCTTACTCACGTGACATTGTTGACTTGCTCGCGTGAAGAGAGAGAAATAGGAGCTTTTAAAGATTATTCGAATATAAAGAACAAAATTCACAAAAATCAGAGAAGAGAAGTTCAAATTCGGATTTTCTGGATGAATTGAAGCATTCTAGAGGAAGATTGAGAAGGAGAAGAGAACGAATGAGAAGAGATAAGGAGAAGAGAATGGATGAAGAGGGATATAGAAGGAGGAGAATGAGTGAAGAGAGATAAGGAGAAGAAGGAAAGAGAAAATGTAGGTGACGGCTTGTGAGAGTGAAAATGAGTTAGGGTTTATGCTTAAAGATTTGGGCTTGGGTTGGTAGTAGTCTTTTTTTTTTTTTTTTTTTTTTTTAAAATTTTCGGGTTAAGTGGGTCATTTTCGGGTTGAAATTTTCAACCTTAACCTAACCCATTTAATTTCGGGTCGGGTTCGTGTCAACCCATTTAAGTTTTCGGGTCAAAAATCTTAATCCAAACCCGCTATTTTCAGGTCGGGTTCGAGTCGGGTTTTCGGGTCGGGTCAGTTTTTGCCACCCCTAAGAAAAGCTAAGCCTGAAATCCTGAAACCCTCATTCAATCAAGATTTCAACTTTTAAGGGGAAAGGAATTCTAGTATTCTATTATACTTTGTTCTTTTGTACAGTAGTTTGTGTATTGTGTTCATATTACACTGGCCAATTATTATGGGTGCGATACTTGAAATGTAAGCTAACTAACCTGATTTGATTTGAACTGTAATTTGACCTGAGCATATAGTTATCAAGTACTTTGTATATTATTATGGAGTGGCCCAATTTAGAGCTAGCAAGTTTGGGCCAACAAATTTCAACCCGATACTTTAGACTAAATGGCTTTTTTTTTTAAAAGAAAACTAAAAAAAATAATTAGGTCTACTACTTGGATTAGTACGAAGTATTATTATGCTACTTAATGGTGTGAGCGAGTAATTGGGTTGGGTTTATATGGGTCAAATCATATCACTATAGTTTACAAATCAAATAGTGTCCATTTCAACTTCATAGTTTTGGGAAAAGGTCTACTTGAAGAATCCGAACACATTAGGCAAAAGTTTGTCCACATTTTCATTATTAGATCAACCTTACTGGTAAATTTAGGATGGCAAGCCCATACTCTATATATTTTCAATGGGTTAACCAAGATGAGCAGATCAACGTAATATTTGATTTGTAAACTGAAGTGACTCAATTTAAGCAATGCCCATATTCTACTTTCATCCTATAGTCTCGTGCATCGCCAATTGATTAGGTCCAAAGAGTGCGGAATGCTAAGGTTTTAACCAATCGAGTGAAAAGTATGCCGTGCACTAGGTCTAAACTCTGCTAGTCTGCTAATTTAAAACGGATCTATGCTTCAAACAAAAACGAATTTAGAAACTAGAGATTAAAAAACTTTCATATTCATCTAACATTCCAAGTCGTTGTAGTATAGTGGTAAGTATTCCCGCCTGTCACGCGGGTGACCCGGGTTCGATCCCCGGCAACGGCGTTTTTTGAGTTCTTTTTAAAACCAACATATTCTGAACTAAAGACATCAAATGGCTGTCAAACAGATTATAGTTTCGGAATAGTGCAATATTAATAGCCAATTTGACTTTATGATTCATGCATAAAGTTATACATATATTCATAATATTAATTTTTTTGGTGATTCATGCATTGTAGTCAACTAGTCATGTAAATACGTATTAGTACATATATTCATAATATTAATTTTTTAATATTATTTACCTATTTATAATAAAAATATTAATGATTAAAGTTATACATTGATTATTAAAAAAGAGAAAGTGTTTCATTGGAAAAAAAAAAAAAAAAAAAACACAGAGGAGTATGTTATAGAAAGAGTACTTGCATAAGTTGCATGAATGCAGGCTAACCGTGTATATTTGCTAAGCTCGTAACGAGTGTTTAATGTAGGAATAATGAGTTAGCATGGAATTGAAGTGTTTATAAATTATAATAATGCACTTAATCTAAAAATTGCAAATTTTGTTGCTTAGCAGTTGCATGAATGCTTGAGTTTGTTTAAAATTGGTTCAGCAAAAGAACTTTGTTTAAAATTGGTTCAGCAAGAGAACTACTACCGGAGAGTAGAAGAAAATGACACTTAAAAATACCAATTGTACATTAATTGTTCACATGCATGGAGTCATAGAGAGAGTTTTTCATCCAAGACCAAGAACCTTTTTTCAGCACCATTGAATTTATTATACATAAACAATTATTTTAATATCTCTAACAAGTCCACCAAAGTCGTAGTATAGTGGTAAGTATTCATGCTTGTCACGCGGATGACCCGGGTTTGATCCCCTTTTTTAGTACTATTGAGATATTCCCTATGTCAAATTTGTTGACACACTTTGACCTTAAACGATAAACACTCTTTACAACTAATCACGACTTCTCCC